AGGTTCTTGATACACATTATAAGGGCATGTATGTATATCAGAAAATCATAGTTATAAAAATGGAGAATTCTCTCCTTGTGATTTTTGTCAAAACACTCTGTCTTTGGTCCAGTTTTTGAGCAACTTGACAATCCACTGACAAGAAACTGCATGAGCACTATGCCAAAATCCTGTGGAAAACCCTGTGTATATATAGTTTTTTTGTTTCCAAATTTCAGCATTTATGATGCCATGTTGCAAACTCACAATTCAGTATTGAGGTTTTATACACACAGCTTATACAAGTGATAATGAATAAATTTAATGAAAATAAACAAACCCACCCTATCTGTGATAAGAAACTATGGATCTTATAGTGCTTAATTAACATGTACTTTTCACCAGCTTTAATTATAAATTGCAAGGCTCTTCAGTGTGCCATATACCGATATGAATATGAATCATTGTATGGTTTACATACATACCAAAGATAGAATTGACTAGATCTGTTAGTGCCCGATTTCTTTGGTTCCTGAATGTGTGAAATACATCAAATAGATACTGGTGTGAATCCAGAGAGGCCTCCAACTGTTGTTCAAGGACATTCACAAGTAGATAGGCTCTATTACAAGGTGTAAATGATGATAAAAACACCTCTTCTTTGGTTTCCCGTGGTATTAGGTTTTTAGCATACAGCCTAATTGTTGCTTTATGAAGCGTTGTAGAAATTGCATTAACAAGTTTGTCAGAGCACAACCTTAATATTTTCTCAGGGTCACCTACAAGTATAATTACATATTTAAGATAAATTAAAGTGATTCATACAGGTCTCGCCCCGACTATATATAAATTCACACCTACCTGTTATAGGACCAGGATTGAGTTCAATATCTCCTGACAAGAACAGAAGTAGCCGACGGACAATGAAATACAGAAAAATACAAACTAAAATGGAAGCACATCCTCCAGCCAAGACAAAACGAAAGCATGCAGAGGAACAACTAGTAATAATGCCTGACATAGATAATTAGTATTGTTACAGCATTATAGAGTTACCTACCTGGAAAAAGTAAAGATGCTATATTACTAAGGTAGACCAAAGCGACAATCAGATACAAAGATATAACACTGCTGGTCTTGTCTCTACCCACAGTTTTACAGAAATTTGGATGGCAAAATTGAGTTGACCTACAAGCAGCAGTCTTACAGCTATTCCATAGGCCAATGCAGGCTCTCCATTGGGAAAGATCCACCATTTTTCAAAAGCAGAACTCACGTGATGCATGATAACAAAAATAATATAATCTCTTGACAGTGTAATGCTGCTAATGCAACAGTGTAATGCTGCTAATGCAACAGTGTAATGCTGCTAATGCAACACTGTTAAATGATGCTTGTCTCTTTTTAATGGTAAAAGGCGGACTTACAATATTACACTAGGCCAACGTACCATCAATTTTTAATCAAAAGCGTGTGCAATTTGACCTTTTGATGCATGCTTCATGCTGGAATTGAACCAGATTCAACTCCAGTCTCCAGCATCTATGTAACATCAGGACTAGCGTAATATTGTAAATCCGTCTTAACAGATAATAATCATCAGTTTTAAGTGACGTAGCATAATTATTAGAAACAGTTATTAGCTTATAGAAGTATTGTCATTGAAGCCTTTGAATATCCACCATCAATTCACAAGCCACTTGCTTAAACTACATATAGTATGAATTGACAAAAAAGGAAAGATGAGAGAAAGCGAGGAAAGAAAAACAAATAAAACGCCAATATCATGATATCATAATAAATTACTTCTTCACTTTTAGAAGAAGCAAATTCTTGTAGGAGCTCAGGAGTTACTGATTCCATTACTTGTTGCATTAGTGCTGGAGTCAATGGCTCAAGGATAAGTGACTGTACCAACTGGAGACAATACAATGACACTGTACTGCAAACATCCTCTATAATAATAATAATAATAATAATAATGATTAAAATAATAAAATAATAACAATAATAATAATACACAGTATTTTTTTAAAAAACAAGGTATAGCCATGCCTGACATGGGCAGATCTAGAAAAGATTTATAAAAAATAATGAAATCGTAAATTCACACAATCCCAGGAATAAAGGCATATGCCAGAATAACAACATATATACATGACACATTCTACATGCAAAGATATTAAAAGTACAAATGTACATGTATTTACCGTAT